AGATTTCTACGGACATCCGCGAGTTATTTCGTGTTGCGAGTAGCAAAGCATGGGAGAGATGATCTGATTCATCCGATGGCCGCAAACAAGAAGAAGATGAAGAGGAAGAAGAATAAAAAAAAAAAAGATAAGAGGAGGATACACAGTAAAGTGAATACGCGTCGTAATTGTGTGTGTGTGTGTGTATGTTGCGTCTTTCGAAACCTGACAAAATGAGAGACAAAAAGGAAAAGAAATCAAATCGAAAAGGGAAAAAAGGGGAAAAAGAAAAAAAAAAAAAATTCAAGAGAGAAACGGCGGCAAACGGGTAACGCTTGAATGCGATTGGTTAGAAGTTGATAGGGTGGGAGGTACGAAGGCGACATCGAAAGGGTAGGGGTTGTTGAATGAGTACCACAGGACGCTCGACGTCGCGATGCATTCCGTCGCAGTTACCCTGACACGATATCATCGGTATCTCTGGGATGACTGAATTATCCCACCGAATGGAACCAAAACGAGTTTTAACTAATCGATTAATTAACGACGAGTAAAAAGAATTTGTTCTTGAGAATTATTACTTTTACGTAAGACGACCGAACGAACGACCGGTACCCTGTTTCCAAAGGTACGACTATTACTACTCTTTCTTTCTTTTTTTTTATTAATTATTAAAACCACTTCAAAGACACACTGGCATTATACGTGGATGGGTTGACAAGTTCTAATTCTTACATAGAAATAATTTATTTCTCGATCGAACTTTTTTCATTGTTATTCCAAAAATAAAATAAAATGTTTTCTCGTTGAGACTCAAATAACTTTTCAACTCATTCTCGTTTATTACAATTTATACACGAACACGTTTCTTTTACCATTAAAACTTCTTAAAATATATATATATTTTTAGTATATTTATATTAAAATTATTCTATGGGAACAAAGTTAAATATATTTGTTAAATTTATTGGTTTTAAAATTAATTCTGTCTCGCTAAATCGACGTCGATATGAAATGGATGAAGTTAAAAATCAAATGAAAAAGTTACATTATTTTGTTCTCATTCGAAAAAATTCGTCCCTGAATAGGTCTGACAAATTTGTTGAATATTTTCTTTTTTTTCTGTTCTTTTTTGTTCTTTTCTTTTATCATTCTTCAACAATTTTATTTATTATATTTTTTCTAAGTCTTCTTCCTGCAATCCAAGAAAATTCAATCATCTCGTTCATATAAATCGATATGAATTATTAAAAAATTCTTATCATTTAAATGGATTTTATATTGCTGTAGAAATAACGAATTATCCTAGTTCCATTCCAAGTATTACAAATCGTATCGAGATATTTCTTTCGTGGAAATCCAAACAGCGAGTGTGGAATAAAATGTAAATCATAAATCGATTAGGATTGATGATCGAATTACGCTATGCGTGATCGGATAAAAGTTCGATCGCATAATTCGTGTAATTTATCGACAAACATGTAACTCCTCGTATTCGCATAATTAAAAATTGTATCCTTTCCTCTTTTTCTTTTTTATCGTAGATTCATGCGTTTGTTTACTATGATTGGGAAACACACGAATATAAACTTACTAAAATTAGAAAGAATTTCTTATAAATAGAGTTCATTGCTGAAACATCGTGAAAATGTGATAAACATGTTAATCCATCGTTGGCAGACATATTTTAATCATTGAATTAATTAATTGCGCAGCGTGTTTTTATTTGACGAAATAAAATCACTCAAAATTTCGATCAAATGTTTTTTTACTTATTACAGAGGGACATAACCGAGGAAAGTTTAAGCGCTGATTTTTCTGATTAAAAAATAATAAACGATTTTCCAAAACGAGAAACGAGAAACGAGATAATGAGAGCAATAGAGGATGTCTTTCTTATCTTAGGACTGAATATATTTCGGTTGCTAACGATTTATGCTGCACCCTTATCGAGCCCAAAAATTGACTGGGAAAAAGGAGACAATTTGACACCTGTTATCACGACAGATTGCGCGACAAATCTACGATGCTTGGAAGTGTTACCACTTGAACCAGTTTCTGGCGATGCGATCATTATACCCGAGGATATATCAGAGACAAGGTATTTTAACAAATGTTTAAATTAAAAACGTGATTCATTAAAGTAAAATCTCTCAGAGAAGTTTCTAAATAAATTGTGCTCGATAATAAATAAACTGGAAGTAAAATAATTTTGCTGTATTCTAAAACAACAACAGTTGCATCGATAACAATCTCGTAAAATCTTTGATTTCAATAAAAAAATAAGAATACTCTCTTAAGCGAGGACGTAACGAATTATTTTTAATTCGGTTAGTATCACGAAATCGATATGGAATTTACAAAACAGGTCAATAAAAATGTTTCAATTGATAGACGGTCTTAAGTATTGCACAAATGCAATGTGTAAATGTATTCAAAAGCGCATATATTCGGTTATAATGACAGCCTAATATACCCACGCACGATCTTTGGTATGCCAATGAAATAACTACTCTGTGATATTTTCAGATTACAAACTAGACGACAGATTACAAATGCAGGAACTGACTCAGTATTACAATCATGGAAAGACAGTGCTCCTATTTTGGAGAGCGAATCTCGGCCATTATTACCGACTAAACGAATCTCAAATAAAATGATTAAAAAGGACTCATTGTTGTCACATGGTTGGGGTGCGGGTGGTATGCCTTTTTCTGTTCTTTACATGACACCACATGGATCTAGGCTCAATCATGGTAGCAACACTGCAACGGGTAAGATATGGAAGCATAGAAGTATTGCTTCTAAATGAAGATTTCTACTCAACTCAATAAAAGTTGTAAAATAAGAGATTATTGTAACGTATTTGAATATACTGTTTGCACATTGTAGGAACGAGTCATCAACAAGATGTTGGAAAAACGATTGAAAATCCTACAGTGCCTTTAGTACAACCCAATAACCGAGTCGCTGCTAGAAATGGACCATCTGTGCAATCGAGACGACAATACCCAATAATACCTCAGCTCTTTATATCATACGGATGGGGAACACTTGGAAAATAGACGATACAGACTTGACGATTTAGTAGATAATTCTGAAGAACAAGACTTTGATCTCATTACTTTTTAAAACCATTCTGCGATCGCTTTATATTTAGAAAACATTTTGCCGATTTCATTCTATTCTATATCATAAATATATTTATAAATATAAATATATGTAATATATATAATCGTTATAGCTGAATAATTGCTAATAGTCGATTTAATTTATGTACATCTAATTCTTTGTAGATAAATACGTTAGAATGATTTAAAGCCGATGTAATACATTTTTCGAAATCTCACATATATCGTAGAATTCAAATAAAAGATAATATTAGAAAATTGTTATAGGTATCCCTCGATTAAAATAAGATAATTTGTTTTTGTACTCACCGTTCATTTCTTTCATAGCTTTGATAAAATCTTGTGGATCTTTAAAAGACACAAATCCAAAACCTTTAGTCTTGTTCGTTCGTTTGTCTCTAACTACTTTTGCTTTTTGAAAGCTAGGATATTTACCAAATACCCTAACAAGCATTTCATCAGTAACGTCATTTCCCAAATCACCGCAAAATATTCTGAAGTCATCTAAATATAATTAAAAAACAAACAACAAAGATTAGAAATGATTGCACATATGTTATTTGTTAATAAATATTTTAAACACCTACCTTCGTCCCATTCTAACAAAGAAGGGTCTTCCCAAGTTTGTCCACCAGCCATCCTGATAATTTTTTTATTTTTCTTCCCTTTATTTTTAGGATGACTTTCTTCGGCACTAGCATTTGCCATAATGGAACTGGCTTTTCCTTGACTAATGGCCAATTCTGCCGCCGTACTGACGCCTTTAACCTTTGGTTTCTTTTTACCTTCATCTTCTGGTATTTTTGTATTGATAATCTGTTCAATAATTTCTGGATGAATCATTGGTGCAGACGTAGATTCGTAAGTTTTTGGAGTTGCACTTAAACACGGATCCACCATATTTGGTAAATACGGATTACTTATCTGTGCAGGTGAAGAATATGTTGTAATAGGGACCGTACCTATAAATTAAAATTACCGTTAAATAGAATCATCTCAAAGAACAAATAATTTAGCATATATTTAACAATATTTAATATATTTACCTTGTCTAGCAACTTGTTGTGGTATTAACATTGGTGGTGGTGGAGGTGGCGGTGGCGGTGGAGGTGGTGGAGGGAAACCTATCATCGGTGGAAAAGCTAACGTTGCTGCAGCTGCTGCAACAACCGGTGTTGGAAGTTCATGTTGTTCTAATTGACGAGCTACTTGATTATACGTATTGGCTCCTATTACAGGTCTAACCATTGGAGTAACTAACTGTCCACCAATTTCAGCTTCAAACCTATGGATTTTGATTTATTAAATAGTTTGATTTACAAAATCAAATGAAAAGTTTCTATATCTTTGAAAATTATCTAAGGTTAAGTTGAATGATATTTTCCTCATTCCTATTTATTACCTGCTCATTTCATCTTCCATTTGTCTAAGTTTGTCCTCCATTTTTATGAAGTTTCTTCTACACTTTTTTCACAGAGAATATTCTGAAAAACTTTGTAAACTTTTATTAAATATAAATTAACAAGCAAACTTATGAGAATAACGTGAAGTAAAATATAATTCTCGTTTGGCTTGAAGTTAGTATCAATAAGGGTTCTCAACCTTTCGATCTTAAAATTATCACTGCGACAAAAACGCTAACTGGTAGTAGAGTCACAAAGTAGTATAAAATGCAAGCGTACGTTTTATGGGCGCATTTTTATTGAAATTAGACAATTATTTCAGCTTTTACATGATTGTAATCCTAAAGCATTAAAAAATTAATTTATCTATAAAAAATAGTAAAGAAGATTGTAGATTATATCAACTGTTGCTTGAAGTTATAGGAAATGTTAAAATTACTAGAATAGGACAAAAAATCACTGAGAAATTATTGGTAATACTGTAATCAGCTGATAAATTAGTAACAAACTTCAGTAGGCATAAAAGAAGAAACATGAATTCTTCGTTGAAATTAGTTTCAGTTATTTTTATAATTATTAATTTAATTAGCGATCATATTAATGCAGAACACGAGGAAGATCAATCAACCGATCTTTATGTCATCGAAGGGAAAGTATTCCCATGGGAAAACACTGCTTCAAGTGGTTGGCAGCTAATGACTCATGTTATGGCTAACGGTGGTGAACATTATGGATTTTTAAGGTAAATAATAATAATACACTTGTATATAAAATATAAAATTAATACGTTTCAAATAAATAATTAGACATTTACATTGTATATTCAATATATGTTATGTTGTTCATTTAAATTTGCAATCTTAATTAATTCTTTTAATAATGCAATTAATTTTTTCAGGGAAGATGGAACATTTGTCATTTCTAACGTGCCATCAGGTTCATATATAGTAGAAGTTGTCAATTCTAATTATTTCTATGAGCCTGTCAGAGTAGAAATTAATTCTAAAGGAAAATTCAGGGCACGAAAAGTTAATTTAATTCAAACTTCGCAAATCATTCAAGTACCATATCCATTAAAAATGAGACCACTTTCTCCGTTCCGTTATTTCCAAGTTAGGGAGCAATGGAGAGTAACAGATTTCTTATTTAATCCAATGGTAATTGTCAATAACATTCTTATTGCATTTATTTTTTATGTAACATTATAATTTTTTATCTATTAACTATATTTTGTTTTAGGTCCTGATGATGATCTTACCATTGATCCTAGTTATGATTATACCAAAAATTATAAATGATCCAGAAACTAGAAAGGTTTGTTGAAAATGAATTATAAAATTATGAGGTATTTAAATGTACCTAATTGTGTACAGTAGATTCCTGTATAACACGGCTTATATTTTAAGCTTTGTATGAATATAACCCATTTTTATGTATTTTTAGGATATGGAACAATTAAATAATCTAACAATTTATAACATGCCTGAAATGTCAGAAGTAATAACGTCATTTTTATCTGGCGGAGAAAAACAAAAAACAAAGGCAGTGAAAGCAGCTAAAAAAAGACAATAATGAAATAAGAAAATTAGTAATATATTTATACCTTTTTAGTCTTCAAATTTTTAATGTTTCATAAAATTGATTTTTGAAAGGAAAAGAAAATAACACACCTACACACACATTTGTAATCAAAATCAGCAATGAATATGATTACAGAGAAAATTGTGCATTGTTGATATATTAAAAATTCCACCGAAAATGTATATTTAATTGCAGGGTTAAATATTTCTACATTATTTTTTTGTGATATGTTTTTCATAATTATTTTGTTTATTTATAATATTCTATAGATAATAATTATATTCTAATATTTTCTTAATTGTATATACATTCTGTCATGATAAAAGTATGATTCATAGTGACACGAATATCAAATCTGGAAAGAAATTGATAACAAAAAAGTTCAGCTGCCTTTCTTGGAATTTTACTAACGATACCGACAAAAACCATTGACTAGGGATGACACATTAATGTTATCGGATGTGAATAAAAATAAATCTTTACTATACTTAAATAAAACTTAATATATACAAGATCGTCTACCATAAAATGACGTGACATATGAGACGATTAATATTAAGATATTCCAGATGTTACTATACCACACGTTTATTAATAAATAATTGAACGAAAAAAGGACTCTTCGTTATACCCAAAGAATAAATTCTATAATAAACAAGATAAAAAATGAATTATAAAATTATTTTATTTCTACGATCTATAAATAATCGATGTACAAATATTTTAAAAATAGGATTTAAACATAAAACATAGAGTTTAATATTAAATTCTTGCATTTAACAATCGTTGAAATAATTTATAAATAAATATAAGTAATTGGAAGATGTTTGTATGCACCTACGCGTTTTGGATTAATCCGTTCCTGCTACAAATATCTATCGTTAGAGTAGTTACAACATCGGACGATGATCGTACACATATCCAGGCGGATCTGAAAGCCCGAAGGTGAAAAAAAAATGGGTAAAGATGGCCGGTCTCGACTGTGATTCAGCGTTGGACGATGCGAGCTCCGAAACCCGCCGGTCTCTCCTTCTTCCTTCCAGGAATTCGTACACTGCCAATTGAGAGAGCCTTCGGCATCACGACTTCATTCAACAAGAGTAGCCCATACGTGATACGGATGGACAAGCCTATCCAAACTATAACTGTATTTTAATTCTTATCTTCGGTTTTTCTTCTTTGCACGTGGACGAGAATACGCACGCACCAAATAAACTGTATTATTCAACTTCGAAAATTCCACATTTTATTGCTAAGAAAATCCATCGATAACAACATTATTGTTTAGTTCAGTACGTATGTTTTGTATATTTTTAACATACGATACACTAACAAGTATAATTTTGTTAAAACGTAAGCTAATAAATAACATGTTCATCAATGTATAAAAATAATTTCGATACGTTTGACATAATCAACATTGTTTAGATCACATATTTTGTTATAGATTATATTGATTTATTAAATATCATAAAAAATATATCGAATAAGCATAATTCTATCTTCACAGTTACACAAATTAATAAAAATAAATTGTATTATTTATGTATGTGTTAGTTATTCCCGGAATTAGAAAATCTTCGCTAAATTATACATTCACTGATAACATAATCGTATTTTAACATTCACTAATTAAAAATTATCATCTTTTACAGTTTAAACAAAAAGAAAAAGAAACAAACAACGAATGGGTTGAAAATCTTCCAATTGCCGACGATCAGTCGAACGGATCTGATCGATCTCAGTGTTCTAGGATCCAATAAATCAAAGGTGAAGAAGTATTATCGTAATAAGGTCTCCTATGTCGAAGCTCGAACTCTTTCACTTAGTCACTTTCCACATCGACTGCACCGAACTGAATCCGTGAGAAACCTGTGTTCTTCAAACTAGGAAGAGCTTGATGACGCACGCAAATTACCAGGAAGAAATTGTCTTGTAAGTCGAAAGATACGCGACGACGAGTCAGCCGATGCGTGTGTCGTTGGAATACAAGACACGATTCCTCGCGTTTTCCTTCTCGTCCAAATTATTCAAATCGTCTTCGTGGTTGTTTTTATCGTTGATGTCGATGTCCATGAATCATTCGCGATCTACCACCAATGCAAAAATCAAGATCGAAGATCGAGAACGTTGCTCAACATCGAACAAGATGGTACAAATCACCCGATTGATCCTCAAAAACGAGGATCGTTTTAAATCGGCCGATGAGTTTTGTGTTTCTGAACATCAATCGAGTTTCACTTCAAAAAACAATGAGAAGAAAAAATCGAAAGAAGATTTTCGAAAAGAATTATTCAATTTCAACGAATCGACGAAAAACATAGATGAAAAATCAAATCACGACATTAGCACAAAACTCGAAACACTTCGAGTCTCTTCGAAAAGCTCTGCAGATATTTTCTATGAGATTTCCAAAAAGAAGATTATACGTCATATTGAAGATGATCAAGAAAATGATGTGGAAAAACAATTGGAATTAGAGGAAGGAGGATTGACTGATTCAAGTCCTGTTATGGTCCCATATGGCAAGTTTTTTGTTTATCTAAATTGTTGCATTTTGATTAAACAAATGATTACTTCGATCGGAATTTCAAAAAATGTTGATCTTTCTAGATCCATCCGAGTGGAATTCGAGTCACGTAGCATCGTGGATTTCATGGTGCTGTCGAGCATTTTCTATAAAAGAACCACCGACACCGAAGACTCTTCCATCGACCGGGAAGGAGTTGCTGAAGTTGTCATTGGAGGATTGGCAAGGTATTTCGGGTGGTCGAATTTTGGCGAGGCATTTGGGTTATCTGCGTTTACAGGCAACCGGTGTGCACAGTCCGGCGTTGCTTCAAGATGAGAAAGTGGAAGGTGAGTCAGATGTGCTTGCAAATGCATGTTGCGTAATCAAATTACACGAATCGATTGAAAGTTTTTTTTTAAATCTATCTTCTCTCTCTCTCTCTCTTTTTCTAAAAAAGAAGAAAGAAAATACGTGTCACGTAACAGGAGAATCGACGGCAAATAATTTCGTTATATTTCGGAATTTTCCTCAAACATTTCTCATTGGAAATTATAAAACAGGATAAACGATTCCTTCTAAATAAAAAAAAATAGTCTCTTAAGAGTTGTAAACGATTATTCGATTCGTTTATCTCATTCGTAATGCATTTCCCAATGTAAAGAAACTTCAACGATGGGAGCATTAACACGTTCCATGCAATAAATCTAAACGGCACAGGGTTGGTAAAGTTCAGGAGGGGTTAATAAGAGTTTCGATTCGGACCAAGAGTGACCGGAAGAAGTTAACCGTTCCCCAAGGATTGGTTCTAAGCTCTCAATGACCTTATCTGAACTCTTAACGAGGGTGCGATCTATTAGAGATAAAACCGGTCCAGCGGAAAAGTAAATATGGAGGGCGATAATGGTTTTATATCCGTCCGTTTCCATTCACACCCTCGAACTAAATTCGATCAAAAAGGGAAAAGACTTATGTCGATCGTTTGTACGTTTGTGACTGTGTGACTTTGAAATTCATTACAATCGATAAAAGACCGTTCAAATAGACGGACTTTCAAAGATATAGACTTGATGAAAGACAAGGAAAAATTCAAATCGGGGAAAAAAAAACAAAAAGATTGAAATACTATCAAGGAAAAGGAGTTAACGAAGAAGAGGTCAAAGACAAACGGCATAGGAGACTTAATTCTTTAGTTAAAAATCTATTACAAAAAGACGAACCCGATTAGATGCAAGAATACTATGACAAAATATTATATACAACAGATATACACACAGAAAATTAAGAGAACAATTAAAAGGAGAATACATTGATTTGTGAATGGAACAATTAATAACATTAATACTAATAACAAAATTCAATAGAAATCTTTAGCATACTTAAAATAATAACACACGTGAATAAAGTAACATAAAAAAAAAAATATTATAAGCAGACAGTAACGCAAAGTATAGTCAAAGTTAGGAACATGGAAATATAAACTCATAAGAGGAGTCGGAGGGGGTGACCTAAGTCAAAAGGTATTCCACAAAGACGAAAAGTTCAAGCTTTGGTAGTTGAAGAAGGAAAAGAATAGAATAGAAAAAGAGAAGGAAGAGAAGAAGAAGAAGAAGCAGCAGCAGTAATCTTGGCATGGTAAGCCCAAGAGATATATCGTCCGTTTGAATAACGTTGTACGTTCACGTTTAGAGTGAAAGAGAAAGAGAAACAGAGAGAGAGGTACCCGTTTATTAAACGAATCAGTGTTATCGCGGTGAGAGTGTCCTCATGAATAAACCATCGAGTGTTTAGGGCGGTGGAAAGATGGTGCCACGAGGGGTTACGGCCTTATGGGGCAAACTGCACCCCTACTCTCTAACCTCTCTTCTGCTCTTTCCTTCCTCTTCTTACCATCATTTCCTTCTCTCTCACTTCAACACCACCCTTTCTCTATCTTTCTTTATTTCTCTTTCCCTCTCGCTTACACTCAGAACCTGGGGAAATTTTGCGGACTGGGGGTTGACGCTAAGCTCGCCACAGGACGCGACTATATTGTTTTCTTGATGAGCGCGAAACATTCCCTCTTTGGTCTTCGACGTATGTGAAATGATTTTACGCCACGTGAGAACCTCGCGAGAATTTTTTACTCTTTTGCTAAATGAACCCATAGATTCTTGATTTCATCTCATTTGCATTTTCTATTCGATTCCTATAAAAAAAATTATTTGTTCTCTCATTGAAAATCACGAAATTCAAATCGCCATCAATCCAATTTTTCATTAAGGATGTTTGACTTTTTTGAGCTTTAAGCATTTTCAAATAAAATCATGAAAACATACTTTATAATGTAAGACAGGTGTGCACCTCCTGATCATAAAAGGTACTTGTGCCTTGGTCTCATTGTTTTATCTGTTTTTTTTTATAAAAATATGCATTTTCATACTTTAAAAAATCAAACAATATTATTGCTACGTATGTGCAACATTTTGTGCGTGTATACTTAAACATTTAGATGCAAATATTTTATACGTATTCCAATCGAACGATCATCTTTTTTCATGACAAAAAAATGTAAGAAACAATTTGATTGTGAGTATTTTTTGTATCAATCGATGGATCGTCTCAAGTACCAAAAAAAATTTCAATCAATTGTTTTAAACCGATTCCGTTAAATCAATTTCTTTTTTTGAGTATGAAAGGTCACGAAAAGGAAGTTGAATGGCGATGGGGGTTGAAAAGCAAAAAAAAGAAAAGAAAAAGAAACTTGAAGGAAAGTCTGAACGCATGGGCTGGCTGGCTGCTGGCAGTCTGAGGTTCAGGGGGTGACAATAGTCCTCGTGACGATGCAGGAGGGGGCGTAGAGGGTGGAGACAGTTTCGCTATGTATATACGTGAAGAGAAGTGCAAAGGTATTTCCAAAGAGTGGGGACGATAAGGGCTGAAATCAAAAGGGGGCATAGGTCTCTCAGTTTCATTCTATCCACCGACAAACGTGTCCGATTTCACTGATATTTTCTATCCATTTTCAATTGTTCCTTATACTCGTTAACTTCCAATTTGACGATTTATGAAAATACCATCAGGGTTTATTTAACAATAAAGTTTGCCTATTATATCGTGCTTCGTGAGATATCAGTTGTTCATTAGTTATTTATTTTTTTCCCTGTGAAAAAATAAAACAATTGTTTGTTTCAAATATGAGAAATTTAAAAATACATTTTGAAAAACTCAATCATTGATTGATATGAATTGTTGAAATTATTCATAAAACGAGAGCTATGGGTGATCCCTAACGGTGTTGCTATTAGTGCTTCGTTATTTTTTATTATACATTTTTAATGATGTGCTAAAAAAAATTACTATTCCCGTAGTGTCATTTTCTCGTAACTTGTGATGTTTAATAATAGCAATCAGAATGAGTTTCCTTATTACAAAAACATGCATTTTATTGGTCGATAAATGATAGTGCAGAAAATTTATATGAATTATGGAACACCCATTTATTCAAAGAATACTATAATAGAAAACAAGAAATTCTATAAATAGACTATTAATTTCTGAAACATGAACATAGTGCATAAGTTGCTGGATTAAGAAGTGTTAAGCCTAACTTAGAATCAATTTTTCAATCCCATTCTTGTAAATCTCAAATTTTTCAGGTAGACATTAAAAAATATTTGCATCTAAAAAAAACAAACAACAACAGTTGTTTACATATTTTCTGTATTATGTCTATCGTTTTACTTATCACTTGTTTCCCCAATTAAGCGTAAGATTGAAACTTCGTACATGGTAAACATCTTAACGGATTACTATGATAATATAAAGAAAATTCAAGTCAAATTGGAAGAAATTAATTTCAAAGAAACACCAATCGATGTATTTAAAAGGAAAAGAACGATGGGCCTATCATCCAGTGGTGTTTACACGGTGAATGATTAGGCAAACGTAATGTGGAGGATTCAGACTCACCCGCTGCGTCTTGAGCAGGACAGTGGATTACATCCTTCGGCAGCTGCGCTTATTTATAATGGTACATCATTTGGTATAGTCGTCTTAAGTGTTTTCTAATTTATTACTGTTTTGTTTTGTCTAAAAGAAAAGAAAAAAAGGATAAAAAAGCAAAACCAAACCACAGAGTACGATCTTTTGCCGTCGATTCTTACACATCATTTCGAGGAATACATTTATTATACATAAGATAGATCGATTAGTCATTTTCGTTTCTTTTATAAATTCTAAGAGTCCCAATCTTCTCCTACCCCTCATCCTTCCTAAAATTTATTTTCTTCTCGGTTATTATGATCGAGACATGTTTGATACTCGATGACGTAAGTTTGTCAATGTATTAATAGGAAAGTTAGCATAGGAGAGTGAGAGAGGAAGATATAAGGTGGTGGAGGAGAAGAAAAAAAGATGAAGATAAAGAAGGGATGAGAGATCCGACATGGCACTTGTAACGAATTTAACAACTCCACCTCAGACTCGAGGAGAAATATCAGATCGCATGCGTATTTCTGTTTCCTTCTCGTAGAAAGGTTCGGCCTCCTACAACGGACTTGCTCGCTGATTGGATCGACAGCTGGAGCCGGGGCTTCCGGGGCGGTCGGAGGCGGACAGGTTCAACTCTGGCAATTCCTGCTGGAGCTACTCTCGGATTCGTCCAATTCTTCCTGCATAGCGTGGGAGGGATCTGACGGGGAATTCAAGCTCACCGATCCGGACGAAGTCGCTAGAAGATGGGGAGAACGCAAAAGCAAACCTAATATGAACTATGATAAACTTTCGCGGGCACTCAGGTATACTATAAATATTATTATATTCTTTTCTAATAACAAATGTTTAATCTGTTTTTAATCCTTTGCACTCTAAGCAAAAGTAGTCAACAAGTACTTGGATAGTATAGTTGATCTTAGCAATGCAAATAATTAAATATGTTCAATTTATGTAAATAAATTAGATGTAATTGTTTTAATATGTATACAGGAGAAATAATAAATAATAATATAATATAATTATTTTATTATATATAGATATTACTACGATAAAAACATTATGACAAAAGTGCATGGGAAACGTTACGCGTACAAATTCGACTTTCATGGTCTAATGATAGCGTGCCAAGCACAAGCGGGAATCTCGATGGAACCACCCGTGTCTTCTCGAGGAACTGGACCAAACTGTCATCCTCATCACACGCATCATGCTCATCATCTTTATTCAACAGGAAGTACAACCGGAACTCAACATCATTCTATACCTCCGCCTCCTCCTCTACCACCTCCACCACCACCACCACATTATTGTTGGCCATATCATCGATATTCGCCACCAACGTAACGCCAACTCTTATTATTCCTCGAATTTATGAACAACGTGAATCTTTACAGAACTTTTTAACGAATCGAAGGAAACGTGTTTGATCATTGTTGTTAAATAAACATAAAGAGAATAACTCTTAATTCGATTTGATATGAACGCAATTATTGCGTTCAAGTTCGCATGTACAATTTTGGTGTATATTTTGTAAAACTACTTTCTATATATATATATATCTAATAAAAATCAACTTGTGATCAAGTAATGCAATACATATGTGTAAAGCTAAGGTATAATAAATAATAAGAAGCTAAAAATGTCAGCGCTTTTCTATTTAAAATCTTTTTTTTTTTTTATTAACAAAATGTTTAATGATATTTAATGTTTAATTAAATTAGTGATTCTTACTTTCTTGAATGTTTTTAATATTTTTTTTAAGAAAAAATAAAATTTATGTTACGTCATTTTTTTCAAATTTAAATTTAAACTACATTATCGACTATCGAGCAGGTAGATAGCATACAAGTTAGTTAGATAGTTCTACTTTATTGCATGTAGATGTCCATACATTCGCAAAAGCTAAAGGCAAATCGACAAGACGACGACAAGCAGCGACAATTCGCCTGATCACGAGGGGTATCTTTCTTTTCCCATTAATATATAAGCCGAATGTAGGCACGCTGTATTTAGGTGTTTTAAAAATCGTTTTATTAAGGTATCATCATTCACTTTTTGTTACAACAAAATATCAAACTGTAACCAGTAGTGTGAAAATATTAATATTTTATAATTATTTCAGCTTCTTGAATAAGTAAAAACATGTCTGATGTTGAAACGTAAGTGTGGTTAATGTACACAAATAATTGCATTCTTAATATGTTTAATACTTTACGAATAGTAATGTAATTATTAATTTACGATTCATGTTTTTTTCCAATTTTGTGTTCTAAGGGAATTAATTGTAACAGATACATAGAAATTTCCTAAAGCGTTAACCTTAACCTTTTTCTTTATGTCAATAATGTACGACTTTTTGTTATATAAATTTATTTATCGAATATAATTTATAGGAATGATGGACCCTCCTCAATTACAGCAGGAGGTCCCATGGACGTGAATACTGCTTTACAAGAAGTATTAAAAAATGCCCTCATTCACGATGGAGTCGTTCATGGACTCCACGAAGCAGCAAAGTCTCTTGATAAGTAAGTTTAATACAACAATCACTTGTAAAAGATATTAGAAACAATGAATGATGATATTTATGGCTCCCTCTTCTGAGAAGAACCCATATAAAATATCCATGCTGTTTCATGGCTTTGATTTCTGAAACAACAGCAAAAACAATGATATCATTTTAAAATTGATTGAGTTCAGTGTTTTTAATTATTATTTCCTTTTGTTTATCAGGAGACAAGCGATGCTCTGCATTTTAGCTGATAATTGTGACGAACCAATGTACAAAAAACTTGTTCAAGCTCTTTGTAATGAACATCAAATTCCTCTTATAAAAGTAGATAATAATAAAAAATTGGGTGAATGGGCTGGTCTATGCAAAATCGACAGTGCCGGTAAAGCTCGTAAAGTTGTTGGATGTTCTTGCGTCGTTATTAAGGTAAAAATTGTTAATGAAACTTACATTTAAAAATAATTTGGTATGTTGGGTATAAAATATTTTATATGATGATAATTATGGCTCCCTCTACTGAGTAGAACCCATAATATTAAATTGCAATGCTGTGATCATGCCTTTCTGATATGTAATAATAATTGTTACACTTTTTTTTACTAAAGAAATAGATCAAATACTTATAAAAGTTTAACGTTTGCAGGACTTTGGCGAAGACACACCAGCGAAAGATGTTCTTATGGAGTACTTGAAGCAAAGTTCTGTACATTAAAACTCTTTTAATAAAATATTACATATAATCATGGATATTTATTATTTATATCATAATAGGTATGAATTATTAAATTATACTTTTTTTAATTCCGATCTTAATTATCACCTCTACCATTAGTGATTTTCTCACAAATTTCTTTATGGTTAGACCAATCTTTTACCTGGCATTCTCTGCAAAAAATACTCAGTTTTCAATTTAATCATTTAAGTATCCAAATATTTTGCTATTCTTAATTAAAATTTACCTTCCACAGTACCACGCTTCCTTGCATTTGGAACAACGTTTCTTAGCTTGATCCTGACACAAGAAACATTTCTTAATATCTATACAATCTAATTTATCCAGGTCATAAGCATCGCTTAAAATTTGTGCTGAGTTTTTAATATAATCAGTGTCTTTGGTAAATATAGACTTTGCCTGATGTTTGGCTAATTTTTTCCACTTTTTGTTATATTTTTTTAAGATCATCGCTTTTATCTACAATTAAATTAAATTAATAAATGTTTCTAATATTCTTTGAGTCGAATAAAAAGTTGCTTCGTACTTTCTTAATAAATAACTTCAAGATTACATAACTTTGGTAATATTAATCGGATTTGCCAATAATTGGGTGTGTTATTAAAATACAAAAATATTTTCTTTACTTCTATAGAGAATGATATTTTTACCTGAGGAATTACTTCAACATAAATAGGACGAGATGTAGTTGACGAAGTTGATGACATACTTAAATAACTTAACCATCTCTTAAGATCTATTAGAGGTGCAATTTGATCTAATACGATTTCGTGCAAGTATTTATGTAACTGAAAGATAATAAGATTTTGTTATACCTAAATCTGTATCATTTATAAATATGATAAAAAGATACCTTTAGTAGATGCGATAGTCTATATTCAGTAATTTCATAATATGGAGCACACTTAGGATTGAGAAGTAATTCGCGCAAACCAAACCATATTTGTGCCTCTATTTTTGAAATTTTACCTTCATCTTTAACTTTGTTCCATTTTCCATCGTATAACAGAAGATTTCCTATTAATGCGGAATAAAATAATTAATTTTTTCCATTTAATAATTGACTGGCATTGAAAATAATTACCTTCGGAATCATTTTTTGTCCAGGGATGATTTTCGATTAGTTGAACAAGTAAATACGGAATGTCGTGTATGGATAACATTCGTAAAATTGCACTAAGTGGTAAACTATCTAAAAATTCAGCTAAATATCGTAGAATTGAAATGCATCTCATTCCAATGTCGAACTCAAGTTCTTTCTTCTTTTCTAATATTTCTTCTAAGCAAGAACTAAAACAAAGGAGTTAACATAATTACCTCGATGCTGTAATTAAAAGATTTTTTTTCATTTACCTAGAATCTTTCAAATTTTCATAGATTTCAACGTCATTTCTATTAAGAAGAACAGTCACACATTTAACTGCATAATCGATTAAATCAAGAACTGCATCATCCATCGTAATTGCGCTTTCGCAATGAAATAAAACGTTTTCTAATAATGAAGCTGCTACGTCCTCATGATAAAATACGCTAAATAACATGAACGTATTTTCTGGTTCGTTGTTTAATTCAATTAAAAGTGGAAATACTTTGTGCTTCCATATATCTATTTGAATTGCTTCGTAAATTAAATTTGGTATCTAATAAGAAAATGATATTGAGATAAATAATTATAAGTTTTATAATTAAGAGGATATTGTTCTAGAATAATTGTTTACCTTTTTTAAACAAACAAACCATTCTTTAATGCTCTCCTCTCGAAATTCATTAATTTCAAGAACACTTTGCTGATTTAACAGGATCAATCTTTTGTGAAATTCAAACCATCTAAGAAATAATGCAAATTTTTATTAAATATAAAGATACAAGTATTATATATTTATTGTGATGAATTAAAAAATAGTGTTATTTACTTTTTCGTGCAAATATCTTGCAAATCCGACATTTCTAAACTTTGTATATAAGTTTCTGCTTCCCATGGTGCAATTATATATTCAGTAGTTAATGACATTATAAAATTATTTTATTTAAATGATTACTTGCGTACCAGTATTGTCATAAAGCGTAAACCATTTGTAAATAATTTTGTGTATTTTTGTCACCCTGGTAATGGACATTGATTGATCAATAATAATAATAATAAATTCATATTTCTGCACTTTATTTTTGTTTAATATATAACAATTATTTATATGAATGTTAAGAAAATTGTTAATATTTCTAATTTAAAAGTTTCAAACTCTAATTCAAAAATTATATCATTAAGATTACTGTCGGTAATGTTACTATTACTATCAAATTTCCTCCCATCTAGCGCTGAACGCAAGACTTAGTTACCGTCAATTCATCAACCGTAGAAATGTGTGCAATTAATGTACAATTAATGTACAATTAAGAGTACTTATTCATTTTTTTCTGCAGTGGTTCGATTGCTTACTCCATAAACTCGGTAACTGGTACCCTCGTACAACGTTAGATAGCAAGTTATTCCACTCTTGTTATTTGATAATAATGTAGGAAACTATCTTATCGCATCGAACTTTCTTTTTAAAGCATTTCTGAACTCAACAACAATATTATGATTTATTGCATTTAAACAATATTACAAGTTACAATGGAATTAGAAACGTTGTTGCGAAAAAGTGCCTTAACAAATATATGTAAGTATTAAATAAAAAGTAATAATTATATTTTAGTTATATATTTTATTATTTTTTAAAAATGTAATTACACTAATGTCACTTTCCTTATATACTTTTTCAGTTGAAACTAAACAGGAAGAGAGTGAAAAAGTAGAAGATGAATATTTTCAAGAGATCTATGATCAGTGGAAAGGAACTAAAGCAAAAGATAAAGATTTAACTTATAAAGTGATACCTAAGTTTTATTTTAAGGTATACTGTTTAACAAATTTATGATAAATATAATAAAACATTATAAACAGTTTGATAAAAAATATGTACATGTATAGTTACCTAAAGAAGATGAGATACTACCACAAAAATTAAGAGAAGAAACACGTGCATTATTCCTACAAAGACGTTCACGTCAATTATTAGATAATAATGAATTAAAAGCACTATGGGTCTTGTTAGATAAATATCATAGTCCACCATTGTCAGGAGAAGAACAATTGATTAATTATGAGGATTTTAAGAAAGTTGGACAATTGGCCGGTACCAAATGTAGTCCTTATTTTACTGCAGTAGTTTTCGCAAAACTTCAACAAGGTGATCAACATGGAAGAATAAGTATTATGGCATTATTTAATTATGTTATGAGAAAAGTTTGGTTACATCAAACCCGTATTGGTCTTTCTTTATATGATGTCACTGGACAAGGATACCTCAGAGAATCTGTAAGTTCAATATTGTATTTTATGATTCACAAACTTGTTTTTTCTTTTTTCATATGGTTCTTATTTATTTTTATACAGGACCTGGAAAATTATATTTTAGAACTTATACCAACACTGCCGCAACTGGAAGGTCTTGAAAAATCATTCCATTCATTTTACGTGTGTACAGCTGTTAGAAAATTTTTATTCTTTTTGGATCCTCTTAGAACTGGAAGAGTTCGTATTCAAGATATTCTGGCATGCAGTTTTCTCGACGACCTATTAGAATTACGAGACGAAGACCTACCGAAAGATTTACAAGAAGCTAATTGGTTTTCAGCACCGTCTGCGCTTAAAGTTTATGGCCAGTATCTTAACCTTGATAGGGACCATAATGGAATGCTCAATAAAGAAGAACTTGCAGGGTTTGAATCTTATAAAATTTACTTTACACTTGTCTTGTTTTAATAGATAATAAAATAATTTCATTTATTTGATAGGTATGGAACAGGCACTTTAACCGGTGTATTTTTAGAAAGAGTATTTCAAGAATGTTTAACATACGAAGGAGAAATGGACTACAAAACTTATTTGGATTTTGTTTTGGCTTTGGAAAATCGTCACGAACCACAAAGCTTGCATTACCTGTTTCGAATATTAGATATTAATAATCGTGGTTATCTCGATACATTTTGTCTTAATTATTTTTTCCGAGTAAGTTTGCAATTGCTTGTTTCTTAAACAGAATGATTAGAGTTTATTAATAGTAATAATATTCTTAATTAATAGGCAATACAAGAACAAATGACAACGCATGGTCAAGAACCAGTAAGTTTTGAAGATGTAAAGGATGAAATATTTGATATGGTTAAACCAGCTAATCCATGTAAAATTACACTGCAAGATCTATTATCTTGGTAAGAGATAAATATATGTTTATCAAACGTATGTAATCCTTTCGTTGCATGCTTTGGCACGAATATTGTTCTATTTCAATTTACTTGTGCGTATATATCACAACTATTATATGGGTAGGTCGTTCATATGGGGACTTTACATGGACAATCCATGCATGATGAGTCACTAGTAATGAAAGAATTAATTCATTTTTAAATTATGCTTTTACATTCTTTTTTAGTGGTCAAGGTGATACGATGGTGAGCATTTTAATAGAATTTCATGGTTTTTGGGCGTATGAAAATCGTGAAGCTATGGCTGCCGACACAGGAGATGAGTCATCTCATGTTTGATAAATTAGAAACATGAAAAAATTTGTCAATCTGTAATCAAAGTTCCTTTATGACTTTGCTTTAGTAAAAGTGATAATATAGTATAATTGATATCATATCAGGAATGATATTATACTATAACTATGCAGACTATATCCTAAAGCCTCTCAAATTTTAAGGAAGCATACTTAAAGTCTGCACTTTGACAAAAACAATATAATATAAATACTAATTTTCGAATATATTATTTCAATATTATTCTAATAAATGTAAGACTATATTATATATAAATGATATATAAATAAAGTTATTTTTACAAAACTACTTTATCTACTTTTTTCACATATAAATCATTTTTTTAATGTAAAAAATATTAAATCATATTCTATTATGTTACCGTTCTTATATATCATTTATTACAATTTCCACGTACAGAAATGTATATATGAAGAATTATTTAATTTAATTAATAAAATCAATCAGTCGATTTCATTGATAAATTTGTCTACTACTACGTTTAACTATGAATGAATTTACTACGATAGTCAAAATGATTTACACTCGATTGTATTACACACACCAATTTAATTATTGTTTGAATCGTGTTTGATTCAAAATGTTTCAGCCAATCAGAAGAGTATATTTTAAATGCTAACTTGTTTGATACAGCGCCACTCAACATTGGTTGAACAAATCAGTTAGGGCGTCGCAGTTTCTCAAATACGATTGAACGTTTAAGTTGTGCTCGAGACGCTAGTTCAAATATTCAAATATTTTCATTAATTTAATCGTGTAGCATGTTATTCTTGTAATCGTTAATTTTACGTATATTCGAGTTGTCAAGAATAATCTTTTATTTTTTACAATCGACGTAATTGTGAAATAAATAATATCGTTTAATTCTTGTGTTGACAATTTTTTTTTGTAATAGTTTTTGACGAGCGTTGTATTACAGCATGGCGGTTGCGTTTAAATGCAACGGTCAGAAATAACGAATTGTAAAGTATTACGTTTATACATGTGTTTTTTTTTAAACATTTATTAACTTTTTCTGGTAGAATATCAGAAGCAAATAGATTTAAGGAATAGATTAATCCAAGTACTAGTACTGCGTTTCTCTAGTTTGGAAATAACTTGTGGTCATTGATCCGTAAAAAGGACTAAGAGAAAGTCAAGAACAATGGACCCATGGATTCAGGTAAGAATTTTCAATAGAATATAAAGTGTCCCTACTGTGTAGTATAATAACAATAAGTACTAACACGTGTAAATTTATAAAGCATTAACCTTGGAACTTTCTGTATCCTGTCCCAGTGTGCATTGTTAACATTTTTATTATTTTTTTTTCAATTCTAATTCTTGCAGTGCATTAGAATCTTGTACTAGCATTTTGAAAAATAGAAAGTTTTCTAGAATTCTTATATTATCTTGCATTTAATTATTTACATAAAACTTATTCTCGATTTATATGCTAAATTGGTTTCTCAAAAATATTGTATAAATTATAATCGTGCAATTCAAAAACTCACACTTTACACACATTAGAAATAAATAAATATATAATAAATTTAATAAATTTGTGTAAATATCTTTAGCTCTCACTTTCATTAATATCTTCTTTTAATTATTTGTAGAGAATGTTAGAACGTGCTAAAGCAAGAGGGGAAAAATTGAATATGCAATTGTCCAATGCTGGCCACGATGTTAGAAGACGACGAAGTCCTTTAAAAGATGCCAATGCGATTATAGCACAAGCAACAGGTATTTTATTTATTGCAATGATTAAATTGATCTAACTTAGTTATTGTTTTATTTGAACGCATTAGAATTCAGTAATTTTTAATGCTCGATACTTAACATTAATTTAATAGTAAACAAGAACAAAAGTCCTACAAAATCCCCAATAAAATCGATGAGCGAAGAATCTCCTAAAAAATCAGCGAGGAAGTGTAGTCCTCAGAAAGAAAGAGTCGAAGAAGAAGAAAAAGAAGCAAAACAAATTGATAAAGAGAATGGTGAAATAGGCATAAGCAATGTCAAGTCTAAGCTACAAAGACTGGGCAAGCTATATTCTGGTAAGCTTGAATGTATGAACAACACCCACACAGTTCCTTTAAAACTGGTTTCTGATACTATCTCATTGTGTTTGTATATATGGTATCTGTGGTAAATGCACACAATATAATTCTTTTCATTTGATTTGCTTTCTATAGCACGAGAAACTTCTTACAATATTATCAAATAATTTAATCAATGAAATCCTTTTACATTACATTATCACATATTTTTTATTTAGTTAAATTTTTAGTATTTTTTTTATTACGAAATTATTTTACTAAGTATCTATTTTTTTATATTTAGAAGACACTTGTGAATTAAGTTCACCAATTCATAAGACAGAAGAAAAATTTTATGCTGAAGAGTATAATCAAACAGAATTGAAATCAGTAAAAAAAGGTGCCAGGCTCGACAGATTGGCAGCTCTTGCTTCGACCATTAATAATTGGGAAGATGATTTGTCACATCCAGTTATTGTAAATATTACCAATTTATTAATGTTTATTATATAAACACTTATTTAATAAAGATCTATATTTGTTTAAGGCAAAAACATCGTCCAATAAGGCAGAACAAATACAAGCTAAATTTAATGATAAAGTGAAGAACACGACAGAACCACAGCCAAGCACAAGTGGATGCAGTAAATGGAATAGTGGTAGTAATTCTGAAGGAAGTTCGACCAAGCAATTGAAATGGGACAAATCTGTTTTACAGAGCTTAGTAAGTTTTTTAAATTGTATTAAAAAATACAAACTTAAAAAATAGTAATGATCATACAGATAAAAAAGACTAAAGCTTTAGAAGGTTTTTCTGTAAAATGTATGAATGCATTTTTTTTTTATTACAAATACAGAACATAATTATAAATGCAATAAAAAAGATATTAGATTTATTAGATGGATATTTACAGGAGGCTCAAGGCTTTAGTCGTACAAAAAGCAATTGTCGTCTAGTGTATGACTTTAAGAGTTGTTCTCAGGAAACAGGAGGAGGTCCGTCAAGTTCTTCACCCAGAAAAGACACAAATACCGTGCAAAGACAAGAAGAGAAAAATATATCAAGCTCCAAACTGAACGTTGTATTAGAAGGCAAGGTTACGAATGATGACAATGTGCATAAAAGTGCAAATAGGACAACTAAGGAGAATGCAAATTCAAATACATCAGAAAAGACAGTAAGAACTACAAATGCAAATACAAACAATTCTAGAATAACATCTAGACTTGGTTTTAATGGTTCACCTAAGAGTCCAATACCTGGTTCATCACCTGGGTCTGTATTGAGTAAAGCTTCCATGTTTGAATCACGAAATAATGATACTAAAGCAAAAGATCCAGCACAGATGAGCCTTTCTGAAAGAAAAGCTCTTTTCGAGAAGAACAAAGATGAAGCTCCGTTAATTCCAAAAGCACCACTTACTATGTCTATACCACCCAGTAAATTACACGAAAAAGAGACATCTAATTCGCCACATGGACATGTGTGTGGCGCAACAGGTATGTTATAAATATCATTTAATATTTTAGATAAAATATCACTGATTATATTTTTTTATCTACGATAGATCCGTCAGCAAATAATCGTAAAGCAGAAAATTCTAACAGAGTCGTAACTCAGCGTGCAATATTTGAACATGGTCACACACAAGAATTGGAAAACAATATATTGCGTACTGCTCAAATTGAAAGACAAAGAGAATTAGATATGCTACGTTCACGTTTCAATACCAATAAAGAAATAGCACAAGCAGCTGCTGGTTCTTGTATCAGAACGAGCGAAAGTAGCGAAGGGAAATCTAATTCACCAAAGAATTCTCTAATCTGTCCTGTTAAACCTACACCAGCACTCGTAATATATTTTTATCTTTTACTTTACCTTAAGATTTACATAAATATAGATAATTTGTTAATTATAATAGGATAATGTTATTTCACAGCCACCTCCACCACCACCACCTCTTCCACAGTCATCGAATTCGAACCAAAAACATCATTTAGAGCAAGAAAAATCTTCACCAGTTAAACGACAAGGTAAATGAGTAATTAATAATTTTCAATCATTTCTTTTTTTTAATACAGTTGATTGTTCCAATTAATGAATCCATGATGTATAATAAATTACAGGAAATGTGCCAAAAGTACTACAAACTGTGACTTTACCGGATGTTAAACGCATACGTGTATCCCCTCCGAAATCTGGAAACTTATATCCTTCGCTTTCAGAAATTGAAATCAGCACAGAAACGGAGACTGAGTATACCGTTAATAGCACAGAACCAGTAACTGCTACCTTAGAAGAAAACACTACTGAGAGCGAATCAGTTACGGAAGCTGAATATTACCTTGAAGTATGACACTATAATACAAAAAAAATTATGCAATTAAAAAATAAAAGTATATTATTATTATAAAACTTTTCTTTAGGACAACGAAACCCAGTTAGATAGCGAAGATGAAACCGAAGATGAAACTCAAGATGTAAATACTAGCTTGGGAAAAAGTATTTTACATGAAGTTAATCAAAAAATAATAAGGAACAAAAAGGTACTATTAATATTAATTAATTTAACCCTTTCGTTACATACACATATTTTCATGGACGACCCTTATATGGGTCGTTAGCAACGAAAGGGTTATTAAAATGGAATTTTTTTATTTCTTAAAAGTATGATAGAAATTTTTATGATTGATCAATGCGTTTTCGTATTTGTAGAAGAGATCGATTGAACCTGATCCAGATAGTACAACATCTGATATATCTGTATTGGATGAAATGGATGAATATTTGGACGAATGTCTTGCGGCGCAAGATAGAAATGCTAAAAACTATGGACCAACACCCCCAAAAGTAAATAGAGGTGAAGAAAGTCCGGAAGTTGCTTCTGGTAGTTTCAAATATACACGGGGGTAATATTTTCTTTGCAATAAACTTTCGTTATTTGCGTGATTATGTGTTAAATTAAATGAAATTAATCTTAATCTTTCTAGATCGTTATATCGTTCTCCTGTCGTTAAACCAATGACTCCAGAAAAGAGCAAACAACCATATATTGTAGAAGGTGATCAACACACTCCCTTGTTACGCACTGTCAGCTGCTACAGGCGTCAACAATCAGAAGTGAGTAAAGAATATTTCAAGTTTAAGTCATTCATTTATATATAAATTAATTTCTTTTATTAATTCGTATGTATCTTATTTTAAAAATAATAGTTACGAACGCCGAAAGGTACCCCTCTTTCGGTATCCAAAATTGTGGAATCTTCTTCCGATTCTACGGAACCTTCGAAGGACGAAACAATTTTAGTAAAAGAAAAAGTGAAACATTTATTGGACGAAGTTAGCAAGCAGCAAACGATCATTGGTCAAGCTAGTCAGGCTTTAAATTTATGCAGTTCTACGATCGAATTTAATGAATCGCAGGAACAAGTCGAAGTAGAAAAACTTCTACTCGTTGCCAGTAATTTCATTATTTTATACTATATTATTAACAAAATTGAATTTGTATTATTTTAATTCCCTTCGTAATCGAAATATGATTTTTAAAAAAGCTCACAGAAGACAAGCCGCTATAAACGAGATTCAAAGATTAAAAATCCAGGGTACATTGAGACCTTCTGCACCAGGTTCTCCAGAAGTAGATGATACTGGATCACTTACGATATCAGCAATTACATTGCCATTGAGACGTGAATACTTAAGAAGTATTGCTCCAAGTTAGTATCAATAATTGTTTTACTTTGAGTTTATTTTTCTGAGCAATAAATTTAAACATATACATTTTCTAGCTACTTGTCTTCATTTCGTTTGTTTGATACTGCATTTGGATGAAGTATTAGCAACACCCGTGGTTGTTGCCGAGTCCGGCGATTCTTGTCTACGTTTTCCTTCGACATTAAAATTGCAAAATTTGTACAGCGATTTTAAAATAACCGTTGAAATTTATTCTCTACGAACACAAGCCGAAATGCTTCCCCATGAAGTTAAATATCATATTTATAATAATGGTAGTGGACATAATGGTAATAGCAGCAAAGATAAGAAGGTAAAATTATATTATATTTGTTTGTTTGATTTTTTTAACGTCGAATTTTTAAGTTTGCAATTTTATTTGACGAGAAATTTTTTTCATTTTATAGCTCTTATCTAAAACGCCGAAAAAAAGTTCGAAATTTGATAATCGTTTAGTAATGCCAAATATTCAAAGCCCTGCAGGACCTTCTTCAATTCAATCTTCTGCTTTTCAACTATCTGGTTATATTGTTTTCAGTCTTAAAGAAGTAAACCGTCAACAGTTCACTTTAAATAAGGTATGACAAAAAATCTGAAATTTATATTCTCAGAAATAGGAGAATGCGTTTCATTTTAGACACTGTGTATTTAATAATAAATTTCGATTAAAAATATAGTAGGAAAATGTGAACCGATTAATTGAGTTCTTACTGTACTTTAATACAGGTCCCACAGCAATCTCCATTGGAGGGCAGGTTGCAGATGCACATGTCTTGTGAACCGTCAATAACGGTGGAATATCGTAATTTTTTCACAATATTTGAATATGTCTCTGGTTTTGGTATTTGGCAAAGAAGATGGATGGTACTCAAAGGAACTACATTATCCTACTACAAATATCCTCATCACGAGGGTAAAAAGACTCCATTAGGAAGTCTTGATTTGCGTGGTAATTATTATTTCTCAAACATTATAATTATTTATTGGATTGTTTGGAAAGTAATTTCGTTTATTCGTTATCTTAGGTGTTTCTACAAAAATAGTAGATTTAGCACCTTTTAGCATTTGTATGCGTGCCAATACGGTTTTACTTGAATCAAAAAGAGTAGCACAACCTGGGGATACCGATAGTCTTATTATGGTTACGAATGGATCTGAAACAACAATTAGACATCTTTACTCGGCCGACACAAAAGAAGATAGGTTGGAATGGTGTTCAAAACTTAATAAAGTATTACATATACTACAGGTCTGGGGGAATAGTTCTGGTATGTAATACTGTGTAAAATAATGAACGTGTTACGTACGTTGCAAGGTATTTAATCACAATTTCTAGTTAAATACAATTAGTCTTATTTAATGTGCGTATGCATTTTAAAATAATGCAATAAATAGTTAAATTCTATTATAGTTTGTTACAAAATAGCAATTATTTTTAACAATTTTAATATTACAAGTATAAAATTTATATTTCTCTTAGATAACATTTAATGAGACATCGATATATATCAAATTTAAACCGCAAAATAATATATTATTTAAATATGGCTTAACGTGCGTTAATTATTTAGCTGGTGTCTTTAAGCTTTACAATGTAATTTTCATTTATTATCGGGAAAGAATCTTTATGCATAAAATATAAATAAAAATCATAACGAGTTATAACTGTACAGGAAAATCGCGTTGGTAAAATCATACAATATATAATTTATATGATATTTCAAAGAGAGAGGAGAGAATTACATTACAAAAGTAATATATATTTTTTATAACAAAAAAATAATATAATTTTTTAAATAGTACTCTTGCCTTCTCGTTAATGAATATTGTACGAATATATATATTGCACGAGTAAAACAACATTTTTCTTTGCATTTAAAATTACTTCGTTACGTTCCTTAATTTGATTTTTATTTTATTTTATGCAAGTTACGTTTTCAACTTCATTTGTATCAGTCAAATGTAACATTACACATGTACGCTATAGGCACCCATCGTTATATTTTTCTATCAACTCTTAAGCGTATTTAAAAATTACGCTATTATGCTCTTCTTTCTTATAATGTTTGAACAAACGTAACATTTAAATTTTATATTAATTATTTTACTAACGTATTTGTAAATAACCGAATTAAGATGGATTAATGTAGTATAGTAATTTCTATTTATATATATAAATATATATGTATTATATATATATAATATTTTATATATATATAATACATATGTACATATATCTATACACGTATATGTATTTATATATTTCATATATATGTGAATAGATATGAATTTAATTACATGTTTTCATAAATATTGACATATTTGATATTTTTACGTAATCTCACAAATTTTAGTACCTACGCCTTTACAAGTGTACACAGATTTTTTTAAATGTTAGATATAAACGTAGTACTTTATATCCACGATTAACTTAGTGCTCGTTTTTTTAATTAGACTAATTAAATATCGCTTCAAACGATTTTTTTTGTATACTAATATTAGCAATAAAAATAAAAATAAATGGTCTCTTAACCCTTTCGTTACAACTGCATTGGCACAAGTATCGTTCCTTGTAAATTTGCTTTTACATGCAAATTGTGTAACGAAAGGGTTAATATAAGTGATACAAATGATTATGATCTTATATTTTTAAGAAATTTAGAAAGGAGACACTGCAATATATAGAAATATATATATATATATAAATAAAATTAAATAACACATATACGAGTTTATATGCATTTACTGCATGGTTTTATTATAGATACAACAAGTAGGGGTTGTAGGTGTGTATAAAAAAAAAAAGAAAAAAGAAGAAAGATGTGTCTAGTTAACGTAATTTAATCTGCGACGTTGAAATGAACACTACGCCGTCGTCGTCTCGCGCTGGATTTTGTTGCTTAGAACGAACTCTTCATTGGTGATGATGTCTCTCTCGTTCAAAATGTGTGTCTGTTTCTCTGCTGCGCTGTATGTGTGCATGTATGTTTTGCTGGCAGTTTATAAGTATTACATCATGTATCATATCTGCGGAACGGACACGTTTTTCGCGGGAAGCACGTGAACGTGTAAGATCTCATAAGAGAAGACATTTGCATGTATCTACCATGCTTCACACGAAATAACTCGAATGTTACTCGAGAAAAGTTATCTTCTTAAATTTAAAATCCCATCGAGAAATTATCAGAATTTTTCTATCATTCATTATTCTTTCTTTTTTTTTTTTTTTCTTTTTTGTCGTTCGTACAATTTTCTACGTTATAGAAGGTGAAAAAAAAAAAAAAAGAAAAAATAGAAATCATCGAGGTCTCGATCGTTGATAGTAATAATCTTCTGCGAGTGAAAATTTAATTCTTAAAAAGAAGTTAGAAGAAGAAGAAGAAAAAGAAGAAGAAGAGTAATGAGAAGAGAGAAAAAGGAAGAGTGAAAATTTGTATGATCGAAAAATAACAGCGACCGAAACCTTCGTAAGAAGATAAACTTAACACGCTTCGAGTTTAGAAGCGTCTCATCCGCAGCGGGTACATGTAAATGGGACGTACATGTAAGGACGGAATTATTGTTTTTATGATGCGCTTTTATGTATGCGAAGTTTATCGAAAAATCCTAAGTGACGTGTTGTTGTTGTTAGCGTAAGATTCCTTCGGCTTCCCGAGTAGTAGTCGTCCTCTTGAATTTATTTCGATACGAGCTGAATGTTAGGATGGAAACCGTCCTTGTCGGCAGTGTAATCAACCCTTAAAATCAAAACAACATTTTATTTTTATATAAAGTATATATTATATATATAAATATATAAAGTATATATTATTAATATNATATATATATTATATTTATAAATTATTTTATATTATATATTATTTTATATATATATAATTAAATTTATTTTACCTGTACGTATGACCATCCGGAGAGATGAATGAAAAGCTACCCGTGACGGCTAATTCTTCATCGTCAGTACCCTCGTTTTTGAGTTCGGCAGTTTCGTCTCTTTTCTGTCCGTCGCTTTGTTCGTAACTGAAGTGGTATCCACCTACCCCGATATTGTTAACTTCCTCCTGTTTCACGATAGTGATGTCATTGGGATTACCTTGCGGTTTGCCGAAAGTTACGACTAAGAGAGCCGCCAAAACAAATACCTGCGTTTTAAAAAACGAATTATCAGAGTTTTTTCCTTTTCTTTTTATTTCAAAGAATTTCATTAATTAAAAATACCCAAAGTCAATCGAACGGAGAAAAAAAAGAAAAAAAAGAAAAGGTAGAATTGTATGTGTTAATCCTTATATTAAAAAGATATTATAAAAATAACTACGCTCAATCGAATTCACTTATTTTAATCCCAAGGAAAAAAAACGAAAGAAAAAAGGAAGAAAAGAATATTATCCGATGAAAGGAAAAACAAAATTCTCGTGAAAAAGTTCTTGGTCAGACGGTGTCGATCAGAAATCAGAATGATCGATCGATCGATCGATCGATGAAGATGATTTTCACCGAGAGAATTTGATAAGAGAGGCTATTAAGAAAAAAAAAACTTCATCTCTCTCTCTCTCTCTCTCTCTCTCTCTCTCCTCTTTCGAATGTCTGGAATTACACGGGAGAGAAGAGCCTCGTGTCCGACCGCCCGCACACACAGAACGAACGTCACAGATCCTCTCTTCACTTTCACTGTTGCGTAAAAAAAAAAAACAAAAAAAAGTAACAAGGTAGAAAAGAAAAAAAAAAAGAATAATAATAGTAATAATAATAATAATAATAAATTTAGATGCCGGGTTCGGAGGACCGAAATCGGAAATCGTTCACGTCTTGTGTTTGTTGGTGCGTTGTATGTAGTGGTCACCTGCCTGCGGCTTTCGTTCCCACGACTAATTTTTTTTTTTTTAGACACACGATCCTTAAATCTTTTAACTTCTCTAATGGAATATATTATATAATGATTTTCTTTCTTTCTTTCTTTCTTTCTTTCTTTTTTATGCAAACATATCCGCGTTATTTTTCTTTTTTTTTTTAAATTTTATTTTTTATCTCAATCGTTTTTGTATATAATTAATCTCCTACTCTCGTCTGTGTGTTTAGCAAGAAAAAAAAAGAAAAATAATTTTTGGATTCGTAATGGGACACGCACCGTCTTCATGATGATAGATTTGTTTTAAAAGTACGTGTTCGTAAGCGAATGTCTTTTCCTTGCACCCTTTCGTCCTTTAACGGTGAACCGATACGTGATATACCAGGGATGTGCAGTACATCTGCCTTTATATAGTCGGAAAATCCCAATAGATGCATCCCCCCACTCATCGGATAGTCTTTGAAATTCATTTGATCATCCTACTCCCCCTCGTGCGCTTCTTGCTTGCTTGCTCGCTTGTAAGCCCAGGATGCATCCGCGATGCACCACACGATGCAGCACCACACGATGCAACGTAAATTCTATGCAATGCCGCGCGTTCGTTCATCGATGCTTTATCTTCTTCTTTTCAATTTAATCCGCGTATCTTCCTTAAATTAATCCCCATTATATTTTCTTATTCACGATAAATTAATTTTTGTCATCTCATTGATTTTTTTGTTTTGTTTTTTATAAAAGATACGTACTCGCATTAATTATTATTATTGTTGTAACCATAAAAAAAGATAAAGAAAAAAGAAAACACCAACGGTGACCTCGATTGGAATGTTCAATCGCGAGAAAAAATGTATAATTTGAAAAAACTTCTTTTATCTTCTATCGTGAATATTTAATAGAAATATTTGTGTTATCTAATATTTAACTGCTATCATACGCGTATTCATGCGTAACGAGTTGTGGCGGCATATGCTTGCTATTATTATTATTAGTTTTTTCTTTTCTCATTATTATCATTAAACAAAATATATATGTAATGGAAATAATTGTTTATTTCTACGATAAGGTTTTTAAGAATTACAGAGTAAGGAAGTGAAGGAACGTCAGAAGTTTTATAAAAAAAAAAACAAAAAGTCCTTCAACTTTTCAATCGAATAAGAGAAAAGAAATTCGTGATAAACGTACGAATGTCAGTTGCATTAGGGGGGAGTAAATGCCAGTTGCACTTGTTCGTCCTTAAAAAATAATCTTACGAACGTACTCCATATAGATGAAATGTCGAGATAACGAGCAACCTCAGGAGGTGGTGGTTACGAGCAATACTATTGAAGAGAACTATGATGCAACTATGTTATTACTTGCTGCCAATGATACACGTTTGAGATTGATTTGTATTATTAATTGATCAGAAAATAAAAAAGAAAAAAAAAAATAGATGAAAAATTTCGAACATTGGTCTTATATTTAAAAAACAACAAGGAGCATAATTCTATGCAGATTTTGTAAAATTAATTACCAATTGCAACCCTCTCCCTCGAATATTCGAATTTAGTTGATCGAAAGCGGTAATAATACTCGCACACACCAATTTACGTTCTCGAACGTCCTTGGTCATTGTGACATTTAGTTTTCTCTCTCGACGTAGTAAGTACGTACGTACGTAGATGTTGAGGAAAGTTAATGACGTAACTACCGGTGACCTTGCCATTTCCGAAGATGCGCTGCTGCCGTTGACGAAGACGCCTCCGGCTACCGTCTTTCTCAGCTTCTACTATCTCTCCTTCCCCATATTTAAACGACCTATCGTAGGATGGTCCACTTGTTTTATTTCTCACTATGTGATCTCTCAAATAAAAAAATGAATCATTCGTAAGTGTCAAAAATGATTAACGACACTTATAAACATACCGCAACAGCAGCATTTAATTGTATTCCTAATTTTATCAATGTGATTCAATTTTAACAGCATTAAATTAAAATCATTTTGTAAGAACAATCAATGAATATGACAATTTATGCAATTGTATCGATTTTTTTTTGGTTTTGTTTTACGTAATTGGCCCTCAAATTATTGGTCTCGTTGATTTTTAATGAAAGATTGTTTTTTTTTTAAGGAAAAATTTCCCTTTCATAGATAAAACTGTTCAACAAGTTTCTTTTTTATTTACTTATATATATATTTTCAAATAAATATTAATCTTATTATATAAGTGTGTATACAAATTGGATCAAAAATATTTTCAATTACTATGAAATGTAACTATTTAAGATTCTCAACTATGAAATGCATCAAATAATAAATTATCTGGGTTTAACAATAAGATGTTATCACATTTTCCATTTCCTAAACACGATAATATGTACTTACGAACGTGATGATAAAATTAATAACAGTTTTATCTAGGATAGACATAAATATATCTTATTAAACTTGGAACCCATTAATTTCGAATAATTAGTTAGACTTATGAGTTCCCTCCCTATTATTTTCTATCTTTTTCTTTGGTAAGAGAGAATCTGTTTTTTTTTTTCCTTTTCCTCGGCTAGAGTTAAACGAGCCAATAAGCAAACATAATAAACGTGAAAGCGTGCACGAAGAAGAACGGTTGACGAAGTCCTGTCTCTGCGAATCGTAAAAAACGGAGAAAAGAAATATACTTGTCGAAAAAACTTATCTCGATTGTGCAAAATTCGAAATAAGATTCGCCGATGATCTTGCAAGATCGCATCAATTTTTTTTTGTCAAAATTCCATTCCTTTCTTTTGCCGTTTACCTTCGAACCAAATCTCTTCCCGTTTCTTCGAGGACGCGTTATTATTGGTTCTTTTTTTTATTTGTTTCTCTTTGTGCAACCTTTAGATCGATTTAATTATTCCCCCCCCCCCAGCCCCCCGCCTTCTACGATATATTTTAAGTAATTTTATTTTTATTCTATTTTAAATAATAATTATTTTTGTTGATTAGAAAAAAAAGAAACATTTAATCGATTATAAAAGTACACACGGTCATCGTAATGTGCACACTCTCACTCTTCTCATACGTCTAACGAATTCATATTTTTATTGCAGTCGTGGAGAATGGATGATGATTTATTGTGTATACATCGGTTATGTAGTCTGGTAGCAAAGTTCTTATGCCGGTAACGTCGTCGACGATAATTAGAAAACGAAAACTTCACCATCTACGTTTGTTTTTTTTCTTTTTTCTTTTATATAGATATCTTCGCATAAACGAAGATATGTGTGTGCATGTTGCAGGGAACTCAAATGAGTAGAGGATTATGAAGTATCGTAGTAGATCGTAAAATTTATGTAACAAAATTTATTTCGAAATCTAGCAGCAATCTAAAGTTTGATAAATCCCGTACCGTGATAAAGTAATCAATTTTTTTTTTTTTTATTTTCATATTCATTCGAATCATCATCAGGTATGTATTATCTTTCATCAATATTTTTACAATAATCACCATTAAAATCGAAACGTAATCCATGTAAAATAAAAAAACAAAACTCTATTATAATGAAGACATCAAAATATGCAACCGAGCATGATGATGATCTATTGATCGATCGATCAAATTTATTTTTTTTTTCCAACAAATAAAAGCACTTTATCGTAAACTTTAAGCGGACAAAAGTAATTCGTCGTTTATTTAATTTGTATTAATTATTGGTTATTCCTATATACCACCTGGCAAACGTTCGGCATCCTATCTCGTTTCGTAATATTTAGATAATACAATAATATTGTGCATTAATAAAGAAGATTTTTTTTTTTTTTGAAACGATTCGTTGTACTCACTTTATGGGGGGAATTATGGTGGCACGCGATAAGCGCGAAAGTGAGTAAATGTCAACTACAATGTCTCAACCCCTCACAGCCTCCTCCTCACCCACTCACCTCCACCCCTTCTCTCTCTCTCTCTCTTTCTCTTTCTATCGTCAATTCATCTTCTGGTATTACACGGGTTAGCAAATGTAACGAGCTACGTACGCCGGCAATATGTTCGATATGCCAGATGTGCAATTACCTTCACGTCTCATGATAATCTCTACTTGCATTTTCAACGCCGTTAAAGGGAACTTTGATGAAATATATTACCGACTAACTTGATTTTTTTTTTCTATTTCATCTTCTTCTTTTCTTCTTCTTCTTCTTCTTTAACTTATTCCACCCTTTACCGTTTCGTTCTCTTTCTTTCCGTCTTTTTCTTGACATTTACTTACACCGTAAACTATCCGTTAGACCTTCGAGATTTTATTTCTTTTTTTTTAAACTAATAAGTGTATTCTACCTCTTTATACATGACGTCATAGTTAAAAGAAAATTGTATAGATGAATATAATGAACAGTTTTTATTTGATAGTAGATTAAAGTATTTAAGGGATGTATACTGTACAGGTGTCGTCATTTGATAACGAAATGATTAACATATTTAATTTTAATTATTTCTGCAAATAAAATGGTCTGTATTTCATGTTACAATATTATAATTAACTGGGACAATATTTTATTTGTATTAGGGTAGAATAATAGGAGTCTCATAAATTGCAATCACGTTTATTATAGTCATTTTTTACTGTTTAAAATTGATATAAAAAAAAAAGGGATGAAATTCTCCATCGTGGAGACAGTCATCGTATCGAATGAATAAAAAGTGCATTTTGTATATTGAAGATGAGAGGAAAGAAAAAATACCCGGAGAGACACGTCAATAATCTTAGCAAATGTTCGATAATAAATATTAACCCTTTCTCTTCTGTTTGTTATTGCATAATTCCTCGTAAATTTTCAATCAATTTAAATCCTTTAACGACATTTGGATTAATGTACTTCTCATTGCATCATTGTAATCATTTTCCGCGCCCTTATTTCCCATATCTGTGTTTACAGGAAGATACAAAAAGAAAAAAAAATAAGGTGTTATGTAGTATTATTTAAAACGATGACGAATATACGAACATAAAAATGTTTCATCAATTTGAAAGTTCATCGGTCAAATTGATTCGCGAGATACGTGAAATAGGAAGAGTTTTATAGAGAAAATAAAAAAGAAATGAAAATAAATTCAAAACCCTATTAAATGGAAAACGTGTTTAGGTATTTCTTTCTTCGAGTCGTACGGTTTTGTTACAAAGGTCGTATGTCGGTGTATTCCGTCTACATAAAAGAGAAAAAGAAAGAAAGAGCTATATATATATATATAGAAAGATAGAAAGAGAAAAGGTAACGAGAAGAAGAGACAGTATGTCGTAATAACGACTCGACAAGAGTCACGAGCGGTCAAGAGGGCTGCACTCTCGAATTGAAATGCCGCACTCGGGCAAAATCTTATTTCCTCGAACTATTCTTCTTTGATATTCAGGAAGACAACGAATCTCTTCTATTTTCTATCTTTGATCTATTTCTAGTATTTTGTCATAATTTATAATAATTATCATTTAACATTAAACCTATCATCTCACGTGTGTGATCAAATATTTCTAAAATATCTACGAATTTTAAATAAATATCAAGGGAAAAGAAATATTGACGATCCATTACGTTTTATTCAAAAAGTATTTTCCAACTACTTAATATTAAATTAAACTTATTTTAATATTAAACATATCCTGTAATTTGTAAAATGTACATTCATTATACGTTTT